TGGTGTGAGTGTGAGTGAGTGTGCATTAATAGCTAGACATACGATGACTCATGCTGCTAGTTGAACATATTTGCATTTTGGAAGGGATCAGATTTGTTTTTCTCTGGGTATTCTACAGGAGTGGGATCTGATTATAGCTCTTTGTCTTTGTGAATGGACTGCTGTGAGATCATGCAGATTGACCCAAATAGTAGTTCTCTCGAAGTTGTATGATTTCTCTTTCTTTATGAAAAAGGTTCTTACTGTGTAGCCTAGGCAAGCATTGAACTCACTGTGTGGTCCAGGCTGGCCTAAAAACTTTCAATCTTTATGCATCAGCCTGCCAAGTTCACCATCATACCCAACTTTCTCCTGAAGATCTGTTGTTAAGATGGTCACTCCCGGGAGTGTTCCATGGCTGTAGCTATGTGATTGTGGACATTCTATTTTGGCCCTCACTTTGCATGCACATCTACTCAGGATCTATGTCTTCTGTGCTTTCTTTCAGGCTGAGTCTTTCACTTGGATTGATTGCCTTTGCTTACTCTATCCATCCTCTGAAATCTCATTCAAACAACCAGATTACACCATACCACATTGTAAGAGAGCATTCCTAACTCTTCTGTATTCTATAAAATATGGAATATTAGTTGTGCTGTTTCAGCATTGGTTACAAGATGCACTTTACAATCTGCAATCTGTTTTGCACATATTCAAAGAGAATAACCTAGTTATTTTATTGTCTTATTTAATTTGTATATTTTTTAGTATTGGGCCTTGAACTTGGCACTGCACCTTAGCTTTACTACTCAAGGCTAGCACTCTGCCACTTGAAACCACATGTCCACTTCCAGCTTTTATGTGGTTAATTGGTAATAAGAATCTGTTGGATTTTGCCGCTCAGGCTGGTTTTGAACCATGATCCTTGGACCTCTGCCTCTTGAGGATTACAACTAAGAGCCACCAGTGCCCAACTTCCCAGTTATTTCCTAGTGTGGCAAGGTTGAAAGAACTTGGGGCTTGTCACGTGAGAAATCTGGTTCTGTTTGCAGCTCTCCTCTGAACATCAGTGTTACTGCTTCTGAATCAAGAATTACTAGTGGCCATTTAATTCTTTTGAGAAAAGATGAGGAAATGCATGCAAGAGCTCCTGTTCCTTGAGGATAAGCTATAACACAAAGCACTGGGCAAAAGGCTTTATGTAACATCTTCCCATGTACAATTCCCTTGACCAACAATTCCTTTAGTCCTGGTTGTTGGACAGATTAAATACTCCCCTGAATAGTTCTCACATGAATAAAAACTGGACTTGAGCTGGCAATAGGGCCCTGTCTACTGAGTCAGCTGCCTTGAGTCAGCGGTTGAGTCTCATGCACAACATGGGTCTCTAGAGAAGGAGGACACTGGTTGAGCTACAGTTCCCACCTTTCTGGCTGAAAAGCTGCCAGGGCATCATTCTGAGCATGATGAGAGGAGAGTAATCTGAAGTACATTACTTCCTTTCCCACTGTTGCTCATTAACACACTCCTAGATCCCCACGATTCAGACCCCAAGAGGTACAGATCTCATTCTGAGTCACTCTAGAAGTTGATTGGCAACACTACTTGTTTGCGTGTCTCTGTGTATTCTGAGGCTTGAGTTCAGGGCTTGGGTATTGGCCTGAGCTTTTGTGCTAAAGGCTAGCCCTCTATCATTTGACCTACAGTTCCATTTCTTTCCTTTTGGTGCTTAATTGGAGATAGTCTCATGGACTTTCCTGCCCCAGCTGGCTTCAAACAATGATCCTCTGATCTCAGCCTCCTGAGTAGCTAGGATGACAGGAGTCGAACCACTACTATATATGTATGTATGTGCATGTGTATGCAAACAAAACTATAATCCATGGATATGTATATATATTACAATCAAAGCACTGTACCTATTTAGTGGTAGATATCTAAGAAATAGTATAGGCTTATGAAAATTGCATTTAATTAACATGCTTCATATAAATGAAGAGAAGTTTGGGGATCTCCAGATTAATGACTCATAATTTCCCCAGTATTTAACTTCCAGAAGTCATTGAGCAGAGTGTAGTGTTATGCTGTTTTTCTCTCGCAGCTATGCTATTTACATCAAGTGGGAAGTTTTGGAAACTTCTGAAAGCCCCCAAGACATCAACCCATGTGTCAAAACCATTGTATTTGAAACGATATTTAAGGTTATTGTTTTCTACTACCTTCCCCAGCTTTTACTTAAGAGGCTGGGAATGAGCCTCTACCTTGTTTTAGTCCTGCGGGACAGCTGTACATCATAAAAGTATGATGAACAGAACTCCCGTGATGCTTTCTATGTTCCCATTCTGTTCCTCTCCTAAAGGCTGGGCTTAGTGAGGAGAAGTTTGAATATGAACGGCAGGCATGTTGCAATAAGTAGCCACAATAGAATAGTCATGACAATTTCTACCATTTGATTTCTTTGTTTTTGTGATGCTGCCGCATGCTTCATTTTACGAGTATTTTCTTTCCTTGCAGGTGGCTGAACCCATCTATTGCCATCCTGGGCTTTGGGTACTTGTGTTTAAAAGTAGATGAAGAACAGAGGAGAAACTGGAAGACTGACAGAAGGACTCATCCTAAGCTCTTATTAATTTATTTTTCCTCCCTTCACTCTTGCTGACAGATATTCTGGTGATTAATACTTTGCTGAGTTCGCGTGTCCCAAAGAAATGCAAAGAGGGTCACAGTAAGACAGTTTTTAAAAGCATAGTTTTACTGTAGTTATTTTATTTATCTTTGTGAAAATACTGTACAGAGGGGTTACAATTACACGAGCAAGGAAACTCCTAGGTTATTTTCTAGATAGAGTTTTGCTCTATATTCAGGCTGTCCTGAGCTGCAGCCCTCCTACTTGTGATTACAGGCCACCACTAACATACTCAACACTTGGGTTGAGATGGAATCTCTTGAACTCTTTGCTTTGGGCTGGCCTCAATCTTGAGTCCTCCAAACTCTACCTCCCAAATAACCAGGGTCACAGGCTTGAGCCACATGGCTGGAAAAAACTGGACTTCTTTTGGTGATGTGACTTATTATCTTGGCTGAAGACCTAAGCATAGTAATGCTCCTACATGAAGATACATGAAAAAAAATGTCCTTTTGGTTTGGCTTTCTGGGATACATCTTTCTTTTTTTAACCCCTGAGAAACTTAATCTGTTTAGTTTCACTATATATATATTCTTTCTCTCTCATTGTTTAGCAAGACAGGCCTGGAACTCTTATGTAGCTCAGGCTGGTCTTGAACTCTCCAGCTATTTGCCTTTAGCTGCCTGAGTGCTGGAATTAGCAAAGGTACCCCCCCCCCCCCTTCCATCTGTATTGTATTATTGAATGGTACTCTATACTGGAGTGAGTACAAAATAGATGCTCCAACGGGTGGAATTCTAAGTGTCTCTGGCACTTCATTTTTTTCACTCACAAGGACAGGGCTTGAAAGTGCAGACCTGTCACCCCAGCTTCTGGGAAGGCGAAGGTGAGGGAGTATGGAGCTAGCACTGTTAATTATTGAGACCCTACTTCAAGGCCTTGGGTTCAACTCCCAGTTGTTTGCTTCTTCTTTCTTCCTCCTCTCTGTCTTCTCCTTTCTTTAACATCAAGACTTCTGGCGAGAAGCTTTTAAAGCTGATCCAGCCCACCAGGCGTGGGTCAGGGCATAGACTGGACTCGAGGCGGAAGGAACTGCATCTTTAAGGAAGAAGTTGCATTACATAGGTGAAATGTGAGGATGCCTTCATTCCCGTTCGTAGCAGCCTGAGCTTAGGTTTATTCCCGTGCCACACTTCCATTGCCTGCCTCTGCTCCTGTCCATTCCTTGGGAAGATGCCAGGGGATCCTTCCTGCTCCACACGTCCAACAGGACGTGCACACCCTATTCTTGGTGCGGAACCCCGTTTTTGGCCCTGTTTTTTTCACTTTGTAGTTTCTACTCTTCTCCCTTTTACCACTGTTTTTTTAAATCTCTTGTTCTTTATGCTTTGACCTCAAATCTTATGCAAACACGGACACTTCCATGTAAAAGAAAGAAAATTCAACACGTAAGTCCTGAAAGTTTAAAAAAAAAAAAGTTACAGTTTCCTTACTCCAATCGCCGGGTTCTGAAGTTCGATCTCCCTGGGGGCCGGGGCCACAGGAGCGAGTGAGTTGGGCTGGAGTGTGTGAAATGACGCCTGGAGAAGGGAGACCCAGGCTCCGCCTTGGACCGGTCAGCCTCTGACCGCGAGCCCGCCCCGGGCCTCCCCGCCCCCGCCGCCGCGGCCGCCGCTCACTCTCAGGAAGCAGCTGGCTACAGGCCGGGTCCTGGCGGCCGCACACGCATCCACACTCGTCGTCCGGCAGCCTCCCCCCCTCTCCCCTCCCCCTCGGCCGGCGATCGCGTCCACCCCGAGCCGCCCGGGCAGCACCAGAGCGCAGCGCGCAACTGGCACCGCCAGCCCGGGCCGCGGCTCTCGGGTACGCGGCGCGGGCCACAGTCCCGGGCTCGCACCGGCGCTCCCCCTCTCCAAACCGGGCACTGGGGAACCGGGGTGGGGGGGGGGATCATCCGGAGAGGGGTGGGGGGCGGCGGCAGCAATTAGCCTGCATCTTGATCTTGCCTGGAGACGCATCTCCTCGGCCCCGGGACCGAGGATGAACCGGACGGGAGAGGCACAAAGTCCCCGCTTAACTTTGTAACAACAACAACAACAACAGCAACGAGCTCAGGAGTGCGGTGCGCGCGTGTCCGCGCGCGGCGGGGAGCGGGAGCTGATGCCGAGGGTCCGGCCACCCCCACCCCCTCGTCTGCCTCCTCCCCCTGCGGCCGCGCGCGCGCACGCACACACACTCACACACTCGCCACTGGGGCCGGGTTTCCGCGCTCGGTCCCGGGCTTGGATGGGAGTCTGACTTCGGAAGGAGGCAGAGCTCGTGCGGCGCGCCGAGCGCCCGGGAGCCTCGGGTCCCGGCGCCTCCCCAGCGCCGGCCGCCCCCCACCCCACCCCACCCCGCTGTCACTGCTGGGCGCTGGCGGAGCTCGGCCAAGGGACCCCGCACACCGCAGCTTTGTTGTGGAAATCCTGGTTACCTGGTAAGTGGATGCCATAGGAACTTGGTTCGCAGGTGGGAAGGGAGGCACTGGGGTGCGTGCGTGTGTGTGTGTGTGTGTGTGTGTGTAGGGAGGGGTGGTGGTGTAGTTCAGAAAGAAAACGAGGGATTGGAAGTACTTTTATGTTCCACGCTGGGCGGGTGGCAGTCGCGCGGGGTGAAGGACACACGCGTCCCCGCCCCGCCCCCATCGGAGGGTCCTGTAGATCTGGAGACCCTCCCGGGTTGATCGGGACAGTAGCGTTTCAATCAGCAACCCAGCCGGGTGCTGGTGTTTGGGCCAGGAAGCAGGGGAGTGGTGGCAAGGAGACTTTCAGGAGCAGCAAGGTGTTGAAGTTTCACTTGTCTTGGGAAGTGTGTGTGTGTGTGTGTGTGTGTGTGGTCACCAACTACAGTGTTGGGAACCTACACAGAGTTGGGGACAAGTTACAGGGCCGCTTGGGCAAGGGGCGCGCGTCACCCCAACTTCCCACCGAAGGGCAACTTTGGCGAAGCGGTCGTTGGATGGGGTGTCCTGAGGTCTTTCGTGTACACTGGCGCGGGTGTGTGTGTGTGGGGGGGGGGCTCTTAAGTTGCGGTGTCAACTTCCACGTGTTGGTGGAGCTCATTGGAGTGTTTTCTGCGCGTGTCTCACCTAAAGCCGGGGATCCCCACTCTTTTTTGGGGGATGGGGGTTGGTGATGGGTGCAGATGACAAGTTGGGGATGGAGGAGGTGGGGTGTTGGTGGTGGGAGGGGTTCGCCCAGTCTAGAACTTCAAAGTCCCCGGCGGGGACTGCAGACGCTCAGCTCCCCTGCCAGCTTCGTCACCTTGCCTTTAAGGTTTTGTTTTTCTTTTTTTTTTTTTTTTCTTAAACGGGGCCCCCCGGTAAAAATGTCAGGAGTGTTTGGAAAATGTCTCAAGTCTTCTTCAGTCAACCTTGTCCCGTTCGCTCCCGTCCTTATAAATGACCCTGTGTGTCTTCTCCAGTCGTTCTCTGGAAAGCCTGAGTGAGCCACCGGCTGCCCTAGACACACACCTTGCCCCGAGCGACAGTTCCAAGTTACTCACTGGAGCTCAGTCACTGGGGGCGGGGGGGGGGGGGTGGAGGGACGACGAGGAAGTCACCCCCAAAGTGTCTGGAAATCTTCGTCCTGGGCGGATTTGTCATCCTCTGGATGATTCAGTTAAGGTACCTGGAAGGAGAAACTTTGGAGGCCAGGTTTCTAAGACTCTGTAGATGGCGGGGTGAGGGGTGGGTGGCATTTGTCCGGTAGGGATTGCTGGTGGCTGGCGGGGAATCTGCAGTCCCGGGGAGGGAAGGCGAGCCGGGCTGTGGCTTCTCCCCGGGGCTGCAGCCGGGCCCGGGCCTCCGCGGGCCGGGCAGTGCGCGCTCCTGCGGGCTCCTGCGCGCTCCTGCGCGCGCGTGCGCGCGGTCCCAGCTGCCCCGCTTGGTTTCCTCGCAGGAGGCCAGCAGCGCGCTCTCAGCCCCCCACTTACTCAGGACTGGGTTGCACAACAGGAAGCCGGCACGGGTTTGTTTTGTTTTGCTGCGCTCGGCTCCGTTCACTCGCGGACTCCGGTGAGGGGCGGAGACGGGGAGGGGGGTGGGTGGGGTGGGGGTTGGCGGTGATGGGTCAGGGGTCTCGGCCGCGCGCGCGCGCGCGCGCACCCTGAGCTGTGTAGCGTCCACCTCCAGACCCGCTCCTCGCTCTGCTCAGCTCCTTGGAGACCAGGGGGCGAGGGCCTAGGACCCCCAGGAAGGCCATTCTAAGGGGGTAAGGAGTCCAGCAGGGCTTCCCTCCTCCGGTGCTGCCCTTTTTTCCCTCTTCCCTATCCTCAAAGAATCTCCCAAGGCCCTCTCCATCTGCATACCTCACCCTCCCACCAGGGCTTCCTGGGAACCACTCTGGCCCACTCTGGGGCACAGGGTAAGAGGTTATTTCCGGAATTGCAGGGAGCAGCCTCCTGGGGGGGAGTAACTGCACTTTTGCAGTGATGGGGTCCCCCATTGACAGGACAGAATCCTTTGCTCCTTTTCAGCAGTCCCTCAGAATCTGCTTTTAGAGCATAAAACATCTCCTGAAAGTTGGGGCCTCAGAACCTCTGAGTTGAGGAGGAGTGGGAAATTCTGCAGCTCCCTCCAGGAAAACCAGTTCCCCAGAGGTTGTGGGACTTGGGATCTCAAGTTCAAACTTCCAGCGAGAGAGGAGCTTGACCAAAGGCACACACACACACACACACACACACACACACACCACACTGTTAGAGGTGGTGTCCAAGCCTGTAGCACTCAGGACACTTAACTTCAGTTCCTAGTACTCAGAGTATTTCTTGGCCAGTAGGGAAGTCAAGTCTCTCCTACCGTTTCTGAAAAATCTTCAATGAGTCATGATTTCTTCTTTGGGAGACAGCCAGGTGTCTGCTCACTCTAGATCTTCTCCATTGAACCTCACTATTAAAACAACATGGGTCCCCCCTTTTTATTTGGCGGGGAGGAGGGTGGCTGGCTTACTAAGTTTGACTCCTATTCCTTTCTCCCTCTTCCAAATTTGCTGGCCAAGCAGGTGCAGTCTGTAAAAGTTTGGAGAAAAACAGTGAAGGTTGTTCCTGAAACTTTGAAAGTGATCTAGAGACTGAGTGTGTGCTCTTATAAATGTATGCTCCCTTTGCACGGGAGAACCTGCTGGAGTTTAAGCGTTATCTTTTACTATAGTTTTCATATGTTGCACTAGTAGTCCTTACAGCCAGACTGGCTCTAATACTACTTTTGAATAGAAGTAGTGGTGATGGTGGGGTCATAGTTATTATTTCCAGAACAACTCTGTGTATTGGTAGCTTCTTAACTTTTTTGGGGGGGGGAGGAGGGAAGGACTGAGTATTCTTTGAATGTGAGTAGTTAATTGTGCCTACTATTCATCTCTCTTTGGTTTATCTGAGTCCAGTTTGGGGAAAGCATCTTTTCTTGGGGTCCCTGTTTTCATCACAATTCCTTTGATGAGTCAGGTTAGCAAAGGTTGACTACTTGGGGTTGGTGTATTTGCTTGGGAAGGAATTATTCCAAATGGGATTTTTTTTTAAAAGACTCCAGGGCCTACCACAGTGAGTGGACGTTTCAGTCAACTACAGGCAGACTTGGGAAGGTTAAATAATATGAAATTAATGTTTGGTATCACTCCTGCTTAGTTTATGTGGTTCAAAGTAGTCTTCCTTCTGTAGTTTTTCACAAGAGCGCTCAGCAGTTCATGAGATTCCTTCTCCCACCTCCATTTTTTTTTCCTCTGCTAGGAAATTAAACCCAAGGACATTGTTTCTACTTTGGTTTCTCTCCTATTGTAGGTATTGATCTTTGGAATTGGGATGCTGAGCTGCAATTCTCCTAGATTGTAGGGGAGTACTTTGGAAAGAAGATAATTCAGGAAGTGGTATCCTATGCACTTTCTCATCCTGGGAGAAGTCATTTCCTGTGGTTTCTGTAATTATTTTCTGTAGAGGATGTGATAAATAAGGTGGCAATACAGGGCTTAACTTTTGTTTTTTTAAGTTTGGTAGATTCATAGACTTTATCAGGGATGGAGATAAGAAGGCTCCTAGCAAACCTTTGCAAAAACCCATAGTGCCTTCTCGTTCAAGGAAGATGAGACATAGTACTTTTAGATGACATTATTATTAACTTGGATTTAAAAATGTTGACATTTTCAAGATTTCCTAGTTTCCAACTCTAGGGCAGAGTTGATACAAAAGCCAACTTTTTTTTTTTTTAACTGAGATAAGACAAAACAAAAAATTTCTCCAGAAAAACATACCTATTAAGCTTGAAGAGTTTTGACAAACTGCACCTGGATCTAGAAACAATGTTACTAGCAAACCAGAGCTATCACTCACCCACTACTCCAGTTATTGCTTCCCTAAGCTAACCACTGCCCTTCTTGCTAACAGATAAGTTAGTTTTGCCTACTTAAAAAATACAAAGATGGAGCTGGGTGTGGGTGGCTCACGCCTATAATCCTACCTACTCAGGAGGCTGAGATTTGAGGATCAAGGTTCAAAGCCAGCCCCGGCAGGAAAAGCCATGAAACCCTTATCTCCAACAAACCACCAGAAAACTGGAAGTGATGCCTTGGCTCAAGTGGTAGAGTGCTAGCCTTGAGCTGAAGAGCTGAGGGACAGTTCTCAGGCCCAGAGTTCAAGCCCCACGTATTAAAAAATACAAAGATAGAATAACCAAACATTCTTGATTGTGGTGGGACTTTTTTTTTTTTTGCCCCATACCGTTACTGTTTTTGTGCTTTCCTGCCTGTCCTGGGTTTCTAGTTCAGGGTCTGGGCTCTGGTTTTAGATTTTTTCACTCAATGTTGGTATTCTACTACTTGAGCCAAGGTTCCAATTTTGGCTTTTTGGTAGAGATCAGAGTCTCATAGACTTCCCTGGCCAGGCTGGCTTTGAACCTCAACCCCCATGTCTCATCCTGCTGAGTAAAGATCATAGGCGTGAGCCACCAGAGGCCTGCTCAAAACTACCTTTTGATAAGTCAAATCATTTGCATTCCCTTTGAAAAAAAATGATGAAAACACTTTGGCTTCTGGAATTAGTTTATGAGGTATAACTTAATAATTAACAGAAGCCATGTTTATATCCTAGTGATAGCTTGGTTAGGGTGGCTGAAAAGACATGAGACACTTCTAGTGGGACTCTAGTTCAGGTGAGTGGGGTATGGCTGGGTGCTTTTTCCACGTGACAAGACCTTGGTAGTCTCTGGGTGAGGACCAAACCCCACAGCAAAAGAAGTCTGCTGTTAGGACTGAACCAACTATGTTGCTTTTGCAGTAGTTAGCTAAGTTTTTTTTTTTTTTTTTTTTTTTTTATTGTTCACCCGCAGGCTGAGATTGGGCAAGAGTGAAGTGCCTGCCCAGGAGAGTGGAGTAGAATTTCTGAGTTCCTATTTCCTACTTGCAAAAGGAATGGATGGCGAGAAATAGACTAGGCAGTTTGTTGGGACGGTGA